GGCAGCTTGGATGGCCTTGTTTTTCCTCTTAAATGTGACAAAAAGGGAGTCATCTCTTGCATGTCCTGAAATCTATCTTGTCACTTCAAGAAAGGTAGGTGTTACCTCTTGTATCAGTCAGGTTCTTCAGAGAAACAGAAAGTTAAGATGGAGATATTCATACTTACATATATACAGGAGGTGGTGGGGGAGACAGAGAGGGGGAAACAGAGAGAAAGAGAGAGAGACATAGACAGGCAGACAGACATTTCAAGGACTTCAGTGATTGTGCAGGCTGGCAAGTTCAGAATTTACAGGGCCAGCTAGCAGCTGGAAACTCTCGGGCAGGAGTCGATGCTGCAGTCTTGAGGCAGAATTTCTTTCTCAGTGAAACCTCAGTTTTGCTCTTAAGGCCCTTTTAGCTGATTGGACAAAGCCCACCCACATTTTGAGGATAATCTTTTTATTTAAACACAACTGACTGTGGACATTAACCACATCTACAAAACATCTTCACGGCAACACCTAGGTTAGTGTTTGACTGCATAACTGGGTTATTCAATACAATCGCCCAACCACCTTGACACTTAAAACTGACCATCACAACTGTCCTGGGTGGTCATCTGACACACACACAGAGGGGGCTGAGAATTCCTACTCAAGTTTTTGAGAGAAGCAGGAGCACACTTAGGAAGGGCAGGATTGTCTAACAGAAAAATAACTACCGCCCTTTCTTGGGGACTCTCCATCCACAGATGGTTCTGCTGTTCCCACTACACCCCTGGATGAGCTCTGTGACATAAACCAGAAACATTTTGACATAAGATCTAGTAAAGGGATCTGAGTGACCAAAAAAAAAAAAAAAAAAAGTGAAAACAAGGACACAGACTGCAACCTCTCAAAAATCAAAAATAAAATTCATTTATTAAGGAAAAGTTTAATACATGAATCGTGTGCAGAACCCAAAATAATATCTTCCATGAGCTCCAGCATGATCCACATCTCTATACATACCATGCGGGAAACACACATCCAACGCAGGCACATAACATACACAGGACTGTCTTGTTATCAAGACCTGCTGGAGGGTAGTTTTTCATATTCCTCTTATTCACATCCACTGACATGTTCTACAACAGAGCCACATAATTTTATTGTTCAGTAAAACAAAATCACTTCTACAGCACCACCTTGATTGAGACAAAAGAACACGGCTGACAACAGGCACCCTTACCCTCACTCCCCACTGCAACTCTGGCAACCTTAGATCAGCACCATTTATGTCTCCTGGCCAGGAAAGGACCCAGTGGTACAAGGACAGGGAAGAAATGCCACAGGCAGATGCTGTGAGAGCAAACAGCCTTGCAACCAGCAGGACTGTCTAAAAAGTACTGACCGTGATTTCAAAGACAAACCACTCTCCTTTCCCCTTGGAGACGTGTAATGTACTTTGAAAAAATTAATTCTAAGGCAGACTTCGAGCCGACTCCTGTACACCAAGTCATGCCACTTACATTTTTTATTTCCACCGTGACAAAGCAGCTTTGTGTTCTGACCGGGGCCGATGCCGGGTCTCGCTTTAACATCCAATCGGCCATGAAATAAACTGAAACAGACCCCCTTGCGGTGAACAGTGAATAGAGAGAGCTGTAAACAGACATAAATTGAGACTCTGCACCTCCAAAAAGCATGAGGTGAACATGTAGTATTAAACAGAGATGATGTTCTACAATTTAGGAAGGGAGAAATTTTAGAAAAAAAGAGAGACAGGAGAACAGGGAGGGGGGAAAAGATTTTCCTAATGTACCTGTTTGCCTGCAGGTAGAGAGTGAATGGTGAGCATCAGCCCATGAATTTGGCTGGAGAGGTGAGTGACAGAGGAGGGTGTAAGCGGCAGGTTCTAGGCTAAGACATGCCACACAGTCACATACCTCTGTGCAGATGAAGGGCTCCTAGTAGCTGGACAACAGCACAACATAAATATAAATAATGCCACTTGTGAATGGTACAACTTCCAGGAAAAAGGGAATAGTAGATGCCAGGTCATGCTGTTCCCAGCAAGAACCTACATTTAAGGAGAGGTATACTGCCTAAAGGGAGTTGGAAATCTGCTCCCAATAGCGGCATTTGCAGGACAGAACAAGGGGCTCTGAGAAGCTACCTCTGGGCTGATGGAATCTGGAGTTGCCCTGGGGAGACTGGAGAAGGGCACAGAGCCCAACAGCACTGGGCCAGAGAGCCCCACGGTTTGGTTTGGTCTGACAGATGTGGCCTCACACTCCTGAAAGCCTTGCTCTGTTGCTCCCCGATCAGTCTCTTACTGATGCTGGGGCTTTCTTACCAGAGACTAAAGCAGGGCCCAGGAAGAGGCTGGGCAGCTGGCTCCTAAGAGCACTGGGAGGAAAGCAGGGAGGGCTCCCTGACTGAGAAGTCCCGTGGGCAGCAGAGGAGTAAGCTTCCCTGAGCTGGCCCCGCGGGCTGCTTCCAGAAGAGGAAGGGCTTCCTCCACTACGACCTCTGGCCGACCCTTTACTCGATACCTCCTTGCTGTGCAACTGCACTAGCCGGAAGGTCTCCATGGGGTCCGCCTTGCCTAGGTCTCCTGAAGCAGCCATGCCATCGGGCTGTCAAAGCAGCAAAAGCACGGGAAAGCAATTGAACAGGACGAAGGCCAGGCCAAACTAGCTTCCCGAAGCCCCAAGGCTAGAGCTGTCTCTCCTATGCACCACCTTCCCTGGGCAGGGGCCCTGAAGCAAGAGACCTGGGGCCAGAGGACCTCAGTATTGTGCCACCCAGTCCTCAGGTCCCAGCATCACAGTCCGGGTCTCAAGACCCACCTGGAGAGGACTGCCTCTAGCAGTGCCCAGAGCCTCCGCCGTGGAAGCTGTGGGTGGGATACACATCTGACCCCGTTCTACTGGCCTGCACCTTCTCGCTGAAAACATCTCTCGGGACCACTCTGGAAAGACTGCTGGAACCGGGTCTTGCAAGGAGGAGCTGACAGTTCTTGAAGTTACATTTTGGTACTAGAAGTTACTTAGAAAGCCCGAGGGCAGGGAAAGCCTTCAGAGGGCAGGGCTGCTGCCACCTCCAGCTAGAACCCTGGTCACGTAAGCACCTGTGAGTGACCACCAAAGAGCAGAAAGGGTGGAGGAAAGTGTCATTTTCCTAAGGGAGACCAAATCACCACTGACTGCATCTTCCTAAGTGAATAAATTATTGGGTAGGTCAGGAGTCACTGCAATGAGAGAATCTGGCTTTGGAACAGAAGAGAAAGAAAAAGCTGGGGCTGTGAGGGCGAGTCACAGCCCCTAGGAGCTTTGGTGAAATACAAAAACAAAACCCCTGATAAAGTGGTGCTGTTCTCCCCACTTTCAGGCAAGAGCCTGGTAGCAGGGGTGGAGGACAGCAGAACCCTGTTATATATGCAGGGGAGCGTGCGCGTGTGCGCGCACGCACACGCGCACACACACACACACACACACACACACACACACACACACACACACACACAGCTCAAGAGACGGAGTCAATGAACACCCTTCTGCAATACTTCTCACACCAAGAGGGAAGACAGGGGCAGCTGAAAGCAAGGCAAGGGACCTTCCCCTGCCTTCTCGGCAGTTTGTTCCCAAACTTGAAGGCCGACCTTGAGGTGAGTCAGCCCTGAGGCTGTTTCTTTTCTGATACCCAGGGAGGCATGCATGCGGGTGGGGGGGGTGGGCGGGGAGACAAGGGCATGATTAGTGTTTTAGTGTTTAGAACACAGGAGACCGAAGTCCCAACCATTGGAAGTCCAGGTCCTGGAGGCAGCTTGGGGCGGGGCACTGTTTCTGCCCACCCTCCTCATCCTCTGGGGATTGTAAACAACTGAGCATCACTCGTAGTGTCGGACCAGCTGCTGCAAACTCTAGGAACTGAATCTCACACGCTCTGGGCACACCGGCCTCGTCTTCTTGTCCATGGCAAGAGTCTGGGTGTCTTCCTGGACGTTGCCGTGCCGCTTGTCTGTCAGGGGCTGAGGCTGGGAAACAGGCCTGAATGCACAAAGCAGCCATTTTCTAAGCCTCCTATGGAGAGAAACATACCCCACGTGCCCATCCTTCCCCTCGGCCTTGTGCACCGGCAAACATCTCCTGAGTCCTTCATGTCTTCTCAGTAGGAAATCTGGCTGGTCAACGGGAGGCAAAGTCCATGGTGCCCCACAAAGGTCCACACTCTGATGATCCTGATGAAAATCTCTGGGGTCCTCCGTGGCCAGGGGTGCTGAGGGTCTCAGCAGACATCTCCTGCACTAAGCTTCTCAGCAGGAGAAGCTGAGCAAGGGTTCACTGAAGAAGGAACAGTTCACAATAGTCCCAGATCCAGAGACGGAGTCTTAAAACAAAGGCTGATTTTAAATAAAATATAAATATTTTCAATTTTGGCAGCACTTGATACCTTCCAGGAGTCCCAGCAACTAAGATAATAACGGTATCGTGACCCACACGAGGAAACCAGAGAAGAGGAGGTGTCGCCGAGGATGACAGCACGCCAGAGACAGTAAAGGCTAAAAACTCCAGCTTTGGGCAGCTGGTTTTAAACTACTAGGTAGGCTCCACTACGAGGTGGAGACTTGAACAGGTAGAAAAATATTGAGGTAAAATATTTGGGAGAGAGATAAGAGATGGGCCTGGCAAGGGCCTAAAGAAGGGCATTTCCACTGACTTCATCTAGGCCTGGCCCGGGTGAGGAGAACACATGAGGTGAGAGACATTAAAATTTTTAAATAAAGTGAGCTGTGCAACAGGAATAATTTGCATGAGGTGGGTCAGAAGGAGAAGGGCAGGCGGTAAGGGAGGAGGCGTGATCAGGGAAAAGAGGTGAAAAGTTCCGGGTTAAAATAAGTACAAATGAACAGAGATGGCACTGCCCCTAGAGGTACCTCCCACATATCTGCTGCCGACTCTCTACCCTGCCCTCAACCCTATCTGGCTCAGGGAACCCAGGTGCCAGGTAAGGGTACGTGGATGGCAACCTTGCCTCTCCCCAGAGCCTGGACCCTACCTGAGGCTCTGGGGCCAGGTGCTGGGGAACATACAGGGCAGAGTGGGCCGGTAGAGGGAACGCACCCAGCCCGCTATACAAAGGCACTGGTGGAGTTGACGAAGATGGGAGCGCTGCTGGGCTGGATCAGCTCGTAGAGGGTCACACACGTCCCCACCACAAAGCCCACGAAGCCCAGGAGGCTGATCAGGGCGTCCTTGATGATGATGACAGGGCTCATGCCCTCTGAGTAGTAGGTGGCGATCTCCAGGAGGGGCGGGATGATGAGGGCCAGGGCACTGCTGCTCACGGAGCCCACCAGGGAGATGACCAGGTCCAGGCGGGGGATGAGGATGGCCAAGACGCCTGTGGGAGAGAGGACACGCCTGTTGATGACTGCCCAGAGCTGAGAGAGACCGCCTCACTGTTCAGCAAATTTAGCAAGTGTTCTTCTCATAGTATGGAGAGCTCCAAGGAAGCTGAGACATCGTCCAGTCCAATCTCTCATTCCACAGATGAGAAAACTGATGCCCGGAGATGTGGCATGACCCGGGTCTCACAGCAAGGATGGCAGAAGTGGGACTGGAAACCAGATTTCCCAGCTTCGCCTGCCACAGTCCTTGTCTTCCACCTTTCTGAGGAAAAGGAACCAAATTACATTCCAGGGTAACCCAGTCCTACCAAAGGAGAGCGAGTGGAGAGCAGAAGAGGAGGTGAACCTTTTCTGAGCGACTGCTCATCTTCTTACCACTGAGGGTACCTCCAACACAAACCACTCTACTTGAATGACAAGAAACGAAATGGGGAGAAAACCCTCCTTCTTCTGGAACGATCCCATGTCGGCCCCATTGTACAGAGCGTTTTCATACAGGGAAAGGAGAAGCAGGTCTGTGTGCAGGCCAACCTCAGAAGCAAGGCCCCCCATGATGACTGTGCCCCTGTGCCAGGACAAACCAGTGGCTCCCACACCTGAAACTCAGCCCAGGTGTACACGAGGAAGGTGCAACTGATGATAAAGGTGAATGGGGGGGACTTCCCTGGTGGTCCAGTGGGTAAGACTCAGTGCTCCCAATGCAGGGGGCCCGGGTTCGATCCCTGGTCAGGGAACTAGTTCCCGCATACCGCAACTAAGAGCCTACTTGCCACAACTTAGGAGTCTACATGCTGCAGCTAAGAGGTCTGCATGCTGCAACTAAAGATCACACGTGCTGCAACAAAGACCCAGTGCAGCCAAAATTAAATAAATAAGTAAATATTTTTTTTAAAAGAGGGGCTTCCCTGGTGGCGCAGTGGTTGAGAGTCTGCCTGCTAATGCAGGGGACACGGGTTCGAGCCCTGGTCTGGGAGGATACCACATGCCGCCAAGCAACTGGGCCTGTGAGCCACAACTACTGAGCCTGCACGTCTGGAGCCTGTGCTCCGCAACGAGAGGCCGCGACAGTGAGAGGCCCGCGCACTGCAATGAAGAGTGGCCCCCGCTTGCCACAACTGGAGAAAGCCCTCACACAGAAACGAAGACCCAACACAGCCAAAAATAATAAATAAATAAATAAATTTAAGAAAAAAAAAAGAAACTGAATTGCCATTGCCATCCGGATTTATTGCTTGAAACAGAAAAAAGCTCCTGATGTGTTTGGCTAAAAAAAAAAAAAACAAAAAAAAACAAAAGATGAGTGGGGGCTGCATGAGGAAACGCCATCGGCTTCCAGAGCACACCAGCACCTGTACCACCAGCCAGCTTGGGGGTGAAGGCCAATGTTTCACAGGTTTATTGAGGATTATGGCCTCTGGAATTAGGCACTTGTGTGTGAACCCTGGCTCTGCCTTGAGTGACACATGGCTCCTTTCTATTTTCCAGTGTTCTTGTTGGCAAAATAGGGATACAAAAAGCTCTTACATCACAGAGATGTTGCGATGATCAAAGGAGATTACACAGGCACTTAACTACAGTCCTGGGGTACAACAGGCACATAATACAGTTAATATTATTCATCACTAGTATATATCTTGTTGCTTATGGCAAGTGCATTGTTAACTCGTTAGTCATCAAATGTATTTTGATGGATTGTCTTCCCCGCTGCAGGGCTCCAGCCAGAGGTCCTGCGCATTGAGACAGCGATCCAGGGCACATCTATTACCTCACTGATCCCTATGAGAGACTCACACTAGACACAGGGGTTTCAGTTCTAACTTCATTTCATAAAGCAGAAATGTAGTTAAATTGCTCTGAGGAAGGCATCACAGTGGTGAGAGACCAGAACATCTTGTATTGGCCGGAGTCCAATATAGCCTTTTTACCCTCCAGATGGATTGTCTGAATCGATCGCTGCTTCTTTGGCTGAGCACCAGACGAAAGCAGTGGACTGCATTTAGAGGCCAGGCTTTATGAGAAACACCTACTTTTGAACTGTAATACCACTCCATGCAGTAAAGGGAGAGGCATGCTGGGAGCCGGGATTTAGCAGGGGAGGAGCAGGGTCACATCACCTGTCTTACACTCACTCTGCAGCTGTGCTGTCCGATAACGCCACAGTCACTAGCTGTCTAAATCTAAATGAATTCATTTCCCCAATCACACTGGCCACATTGCAAGGACTCAACTGCCACCTGTGCCTAGCGGCTACTGTCCTGGACAGCACCCTTAGAACACTCCCATCACACAGACCGTCTACTGTCTAGTAGACAGCACTGGGAAGCATCCACTCACTGAGCTGAATTTCCCTCCGCTCCACGGGTACGGAACTCCAGAACATTATTATGGTCCCCGTGGAAGGAAAGGTCCAAAGAATTTAAATGATAGAAAGTGACAGAGCTGGGACTAGAGTCCAGGACCTCAAGCCCCTGCTACAGTCACATCATAGACCTGATGATCAAGAAAATACAGAATGGGACTTCCCTGGTGGTGCAGTGGTTAAGAATCCGCCTGCCAATGCAGGGGACACGGGTTCGAGTCCTGGTCCGGGAAGATCCCACATGCCGCACAGCAACTAAGCCCATGTGCCATGACTACTGAGCCTGCGCTCTAGAGCCCGCGAGCCACAACTACTGAGCCCAAGCACCACAACTACTGAAGCCCACATGCTCTAGGGCCCGCATGTTGCAACCACTGAGCCTGCGTGCTGCAACTACTGAAGCCCGTGCACCTAGAGCCTGTGCTCCACAACAAGAGAAGCCACCGCAGTGAGAAGCCCGCGCACCGCAATTAAGTAGCCCCCGCTCACTGCAACTAGAGAAAGAAAGCCCATGCACAGCAACGAAAACCCAATGCAGCCAAAAAAGAAAACACAGAATGATACATGCAGCAGGAGGGAGAACAGGGGATCTGGCTGATCGGCGGAAAGATCCTGTCTGTGAAGAACTGGGGGAGTCTGATATCGGGTTAGCTTTCCCAGGGATGCACCACAATCGTGTGGTAGAGAATCCGGTACAGGACAGCCCTGACCTCTCTCTGCTTTGTAGAGGACACCAGACAAGGATTTTGAAGCCCGGATAACAAAGGGGGGTACAAGGAAAATGAGTCTCAGATCTGCCTCTGCCGCCCAGAGTTTTATAGCCCTGGGGCAATCCCTTCCTCTTTCTTTCTTCTATATTCAACCATCATGGCAATTATCCATGAATACCCTCACTGTTCTGAAGCCTTCAGAAAGTCTAAACAAAGGATAAGCTTTTAACTTGCTCTGCAAGTTAAAAATAGTCTGTTTCAGCCTTTAGTTACTTCTAAATAGAGTTGGTGATGTCCCTTAAACCTTCAGGGTTGAATATGGAGGAAAGTTGGAAGTGAAGTGTCTGTAGGCTGATGACAAAACGGCATTCTCATCATGGATAACCTGACACTCAACAAATATTGATCTGCTGTGTGACCTGGAATATGACACTTGCCCTCTCTGGGGTCTGGGTCTCTCTCTGCCTAATGTTTAACCACACAGTGGTGGCTCCAGATGTTCCAGTTTGGGTGAGCAGTGGGGTGGAAACAGCTGAGGCAGCCATCAGACCTAAGCCTGGGTGTGGTGAAGGGTCTGGACTCAGAACGCAGGCTCCAATCCACCACTAACCAGCCAGTTTCTTAACCTGTTTAAGACTCATCTCCCGTACTGCTAAAAAGGGATGGTCAAATGAGATCATTCACGTAAAGAACTTAGAGTACTACACACATAATAAGTGCTTCATACGTGTCAGCTAATAGCATCACCCGTCCCTGCTCAGTAGTAGGCTGTGTGTGACCTGGGGGGGAAATCAGCTCCCATTCTGAGCCTCAGATCATTTACCCATGAAGTATGCTGATTGTATTAATACTGGATGATCACTCAAGTGACGCTCGACTCTGAAATTTTAAGGAACTGTGCAATGCAGATTTAGTCACGTAGGAATGTGTTCTGGGATATGTCCCTCAACTCACTGTCAATTGGGAAGCAACGAGTGCTGCTCCAGAGTGGCACAGCGGAGAGACGGGATTCCGCTCTAAGAACACATGGCTGGGCCGAAAACGTAGCTTCTAGCCTGCCTGCTTTTGTACCGTTAAAGGGAGTGTGAGTTACTCCTCCTGGTCCCCAGGATGCTCCCGCCCACTCAAGAGAAGGGAGGATTTTAGCAGAGACAATGAGCCCCTGGAGGAGATAAGTCAGAGGACCTGCCCAGCCCTCCCAGCTCTGATGGTCTGTCCTCTCCCTTCCCTCTCTCCCCTTCCCTCTCTCGCATTAGCCCGGAGGACAGATGGGTACTTCATGATATGAGTTAAGTGAAGTCACTCGTGCTCTACTCTGATAAGAATTAAGTGAAAACAGAAACAGAAGCTTGTGAGATCAGAATCTTTTCTCAGATTGGATGGAGATGTTCCATTTCATCATGACTTTAAAAAGCAATCTAAACACTTGTTCTTGTTTTTACTACAACAGATATACAAGACAAGTATGTTTAGCAAAAATATCCTTAATAGAAATATTTTTAAAAGGGCAAAAACTTTTCTTTTAAAGCCAGGACCACAGGGTTGCAAATGGAGCACTGTCTTCCTGTCCTAGCTGGACTGGATATTTAGCTGAACCAAAATACAGGCTGACATTGGAGAAAGATAATGGGGGAAGGAGGAGGGAAGAGTGAGCTTCCCGCTAATACACTGGGGGAAGAGGAACAGAAAGGGACGCAAACTGAGGGCTCACTAGCCAAGGCATCTGTTTACCACAAGGCAAAATGTGACAAACTAGTTTTCACTAATCCCATAGGTGGGAATCAGTACTTGGGAAAGATACAGGAGCAACTAAAACCTCTTCTAGCACTGAATGTCTTTACTCCATGAGTTAAAATAAAGCCCTCTAGAAAGAGAAACCCAAGAAGGCAGAGATCTCAGAAAGCAGCCAACTGGGAATACCCTATCTGTACTTCCCCACGGAAAGAGCACCTCATGCAAAGAGGAAGCCCACAAACTCCCAACTGGCAGTTGCCAGACCTCTGCATTAGCCTAGCTGTGGCATGAACAGAAAGGGGCCCTGAGGATAACCAGACCACATGATTAGTGAAGAGGGCTGCAATGGTATTACAAAACATCTTCCCTTTGGGTTAAGAAACACTGAGAATGTGACTTTAACTGCTGCAGCAGCAGGAGGCCAATGGCCATGTTCAGAGAAGGAACTGATTGGGATTCTGGAGCCTGTGGTTGTAGACCAGCAGCAGAAAGAGCTGACTTATGCACAAGAGGAGAGAAAGCACTTTAGAGACAAACACGCACTGACAGAAATCCCTTGGACACTTACAGCTCCCGTATCCAGAAGTGCTTACTGCTATTTATTATGATCAACGCTGGTGAGGCCCACCTATGTGACTCTTAAATTGCTAGAAATCTGCCTTTAAAATTAATAGCAGCACAATTTCATTTAGTGGGAGTATAAATTTTAAAAATAATACAAAAGCACGGGAAACAACTTACACGTCCAACATTAAAGGAATAGTTTAGTAAATACAATTCATCAATAAAATGGAATACCATGTGGTCATAAAAATATTTATGAAGGATATGTATATTCATGATGTAATTTTAAACAAAATGCAAAAGGCAAAGTTATATGTACACTAGAATTGCAACTTTTTGTAAAAAGCGCCCATGACGGACTTCCCTAGTGGCGCAGTAGTTAAGAATCCGCCTGCCAATGCAGGGGACACGGGTTCAAGCCCTGGTCCGGGAAGATCCCACATGCCGCAGAGCAACTAAGCCCGTGCACCACAACTACTGAGCCTGTGCTCTAGAGCCTGCGAGCCACAACTACTGAGCCCACCTGCTGCAACTACTGAAGCCCGTGCACCCAGAGCTGGTGCTCCACAACAAGAGAAGCCACTGCAATGAGAAGCCTGCGCACTGCAACAAAGAGTAGCCCCCGCTCACCGAAACTGGAGAAAGGCCACGCACAGTAACGAAGACCCAATGCAGCCAAAAATAAATAAAATTTTAAAAAAGAAAAAAAAAAAGCGCCCATGAGGATTAACACAGAAGATAAAATGCAAGAAAAATTATTTTAAGTCACTGGGATATTGGGAATTTCAATTTTACTTACTCCAGATCTAGACAGTCTTCAGGTGTTGTTACATTAACTTTCTTTTTTCGAGCAATACTTTGGTAGAAATTTTAAATCAGGCTCAAAGTAGTTGTGCAGCATCACAGAATTTTAGACGTGAGGCAATCGGATACCCTTCATATCTTACAGATGAAGAAGCTGAAGCCTTGCGACCGTCCCCGCAGTGGGGGCAGGGGGCACGGTGTACAGGTATTAATGCTGCTGCCCTTTTTCTTTATAGCTGCAAGACTGAGACGTGTGAAAGGCCAAAAGGCATTGAAAAACTGCTTTGTTTGGACCTGGAAGCTTCATGCTCTAAAGGGTCTGGCTGCTTGGCATGTTTTACATTCTAGTCTAAACAGGCTTCTTAATTGAGGTGGTTTTGTTGTTATTCTATCTTCAATAACAGGTTTGTGACATTCTCATACCTAACTGAAGCAAAATGTTTCAAGTGACAAATGCCACAGAGAATCAGTTCGAACCACTGAAGGACAGGTTAGGGCCTCAAGGAATCCGAAGAAACTACTCTTCGTACAGCCCCAGCTGCCCTCAGGTGGAGCCAGCCTCTTCCAGCCTCTTGTTCTACACAGTTCTGGACATAAGGTGGCCTGCTAAGCCTGCATGTCCAAACATACAGCCTGGAAGTAACTACTGTCCCACACGAAATCATAAGAAAATGAGCACCAGTCTCTGACGTGTGTTATTTTCCTTTCCTCTCCTCTCCAACAGTGTGAAATTAAGCATCAAAAAGTAGACACAGGGCTTCCCTGGTGGCAGAGTGGTTAAGAATCCACCTGTCAACGCAGGGAACACGGGTTCAATCCCTGGTACGGGAAGATCCCATATGCCTCAGAGTAAGTAAGCCCATGCGCCACAACTACTGAGTCTGCACTCTAGAGCCCATGAGCCACAACTACTGAGCCCACGTGTCACAACTACTGAAGCCCGGGCACCCAGAGCCTGAGCTCTGCAACAAGAGAAGTCACCTCAATGAGAAGCCCGTGCACTGCAACAAAGAGCAGCCCTCACTCACCGCAACTAGAGAAAGCCCGCGTGCAGCAGTGAAGACCCAACACAGCCAAAATTAAATAAATAAATTAATTAATTTTTTTTAAAAAACGTAGGCACAGCCATCTTTGGTGGATGGGGAAGAGTGGTGAGAAGGTTGAATTCCAAGTGGAAAAAAAAAATGAGGCTGGACCAAATGCTCCTGCTTTCCTTGGGGACAAGGGTGAGGAAGAGGAGAGAAAGTTGAGAAAATGACAAGAAAATACCCAAAATAGCAATAAAATGAGCTGCCATTAAAATTTATAGGTATAATTGAAAACAATCAGTTATATCAAAGATCTAAAATCATATACCAATTAACCTTCTGCAAAAGGATCTGAAGGTACAGAGGAACAAAAACAAATGAACTCAGATAAATGCAATTAAGTTGGTGCTACAGTAAAATGCCTCTCCTGAATCCCACAATTACTTCACAGTCTCCAGGGAAAGCAAGAGAAGCCTAGGGCTGGGAGACGAAGGGGTTGCACCCTTTAATAGGACGACAATGTAACGCTAAGTCACAAGCGACCACAGAAGAAGGGAAAAACAACCCAATGCGCTTGAAGATCAAAAGCGGCTCATGTCATTTGAGAGTCACGCTGTAGAAGGGAGGTGAGACCCACAGACAGTGCCAGGAAAAGCAAAGCGAAAACCAAGAGGCATCTAAGGATAGTAAGAGTTCTGTGAATCAGAGACTGCTGGTTCCTGCGGGGCGCAGCAGAGAGGAACCTGGCAGGAAGCGTGACATATGGTAGCGGAGGCTAAGCCAGGCTTGAGAAGAAAATGGGGCGGTGAGAGGATTCAGGGCCAGCTCAGTGCCCCAGCTCTTCCAGCAGAGGCAGCACACTGTACCCAGACAGACCTACCTTCTCTCGAGGAACCACTCTGAAACAAAGGCCGTTATTTGAGCTATCCCTATCCTTTCTTCCAATGCCCCTTGCATTCAAGAATCAGGGCCCTGAGAGTTGACATTATGAACACTTTTCACGTGCAAGCTGTCTCCTCAACACTCAGAGCTAATGCATCCACAGAGGAAACATACATATTTGATCAAAGCCTCCAGAGTTGCCAGCAGGAGACAGGAGTAAAATCTAGAAGAGTCCAAGCATCCTATCTTATCACACATTAAGGCAGTTTACTGGAAAAGCAAGCTATATCACATTCCTTCCTTTCAGTCGCTTTTGGGCAGCAGTGGCCTGCAGGCAGTGGGTTGTTTCTCTAGGCTGGTCTAGGAGAAAGCCGGAAGGGCTGTCAAATAAAGGCTACAAGAAGTCAGATTCTTGGTTGCCATCAGCTCTCTGGGGCTGGGGAATCCAAGGTACCCATGGTCCTACCCAGGTCCACCCTATAAGAAATCTTCAGCAGG